TGATTCCGTCTTCTTCCGTTCATAGACCGGCATAGATTGTTTGAGATGCAGTATAGCAATTATCATTGTTCCTATCTATTCGACGACAACGGCGTTGTTGTGACCACAGACTATATTGGCGCGGCTATACGTGAACTCATAATGGAACTACGAGAACAGCTATAAACAACCGACCCTAACAGCAAGACAACAGCATACAAGAAGAACGTTCAGAGAAGAATTTGAGTGGGTCAGAATATCGCAAGTGTGCAGTTGACAATGTGAGGTAGGAAACAGATCATGTTAGCCGATCTACAAAAAGACGAACGATCTCTCAATTGTGTTAAATAATAATGGAGCGCAGATAGGGACTCTCTAACGTCGTATTGGCCAAACTGTGCACAGTGAGCTAAGAAATTCCCGCTAAGAAAATCTAACAATGGACCCGCTGGCAGTGGTTTGGCTCGTTTTCTAGATGAATCGCATTTGATTATTCCGGGTAGTACCGCTCGACACGGTCACAGATATTCCATGAGTCCTGTATATTTCAGCAGATCAAACATCCGAGTGAGATACTGATGCAAGCCGTGATTTCTAGCGACGGTTCTGGACTTTTACATTTCGTTGGCAGGATCTGGAAAAAAAGCAACGGGATGATTTAAGTCAGCTAAACAGCACTGCCCAAGTATAAAAGTGCTGTCCCAAAGGTTCACGTATAGCACATCACTATGTCGTATGAGAAAATGTATTTCTAAAGTGTTTACTGTTAATGGTGCTGATGTCTTGTTATAGTTTGAGAAATGTCGAAAACGTCAATGGGCGAATCAGGACCGAGCAGGAGATCACAAACACGTCACATTTCAAGAGTACACATATGCTGCAGATATGGGTCCGCGACCCGGGCATAACAGAGATGCTGCGAAAAATCATTCGGAGCATGCTAAACCGAGTTGCTTTTTCTTCCACGCCAGTTTAAAGATGCTTCCAAGGCGACACTCTGGCCACGTGTGCTACCATTAGAAAACAGAGAAAAACAGTTTTCGTCAAGAAAACACTTAAGCAGATAGTTTGGATGCGGAGCTGTCTTCGATCAAACTCGGCAATATGTATTTTTTTCTAAATTTTTAATCCTATTTGATTGGTCAATGACTATATATATATATATATATATATATATATACACACTGACTAGAATGATATAGGTCCGAGGTCATGCTTGACTCGGCTGATATTTCTGATATAAATCATAAATCTGATAAAATCACCAAAAAAGAGGCCAGTACCTCGTCTAAGCAGCAATTTTAGATTTACTATCATTAGACTATATGTTTATCAGGTAATTGTCTTAGCATAGTGCAAAGTATGATAGTATACTATAGTAATGAACCCGAACACTGATAAACAGTATGTCAGATCTATGTTTTCAGATTTGAAGAGCATGGCAACGTGAAGCGCTTCTTTAATATATGAATTTTACAGGTGTAATTTTTTTATTAATCAGTTTTTCTAGAATGCTCTTTGATCAATGTATGCACGTTAGTACATTCATCACTCAAAGACTGCATCACTTCGTATGTGTACGGATTTTGATCAGGAGGGCCTACGTCTACAGGTCCCAGTTATGGCGGCCCGAAGGGCTTCTTATTTCACTGTGAAGATGACACACTGTCCTTAAACTAATAACCTTCATAAATGCTCCATCTTGTTATGTTGAAATTGTTTGGTATGCGATCGAGCTGGAATAGGAACGTATACGTTAAATATATCATTGTAGCATATATAATAATAAATATACAATTATCAGGACGACAAAAAGGTGTAAAACCTAAACTCGTTCCTATGTTTCTCTGATCGACTGAAGTTCGTTCAGCTTCTCAAAATTCTCGTCACTGTTGTACGACTTCTGCTATATTTTTTTTGTTGGTGTTGTACGTATTTTCGAAGCTTAATTGGGGTGGGGCGGCGCGTATGAGGCGGCCGCATGCCGCTTTTGTTCGAAGCAGTCAGGTAACTATTATACACGCCGGCCTGCCGGCCGGCCGGCCGGCCGCCAGCCACCTTACACGTTGCGAAGAGAATTTCTGCTCGGATCATTACTAGTGCCACGATGGCCTGCTATAGGGAGATGTTGGTGATTCATCAAGGGAAAATGCTGTTTTAATTCGTTACTATCGTCCCGAACGAAAACAAGCTTATTGAAGACTCTAGCATAACCATCGCAACGCTGAGGATTGTAGTGTATTTTTGTAACTGCTTTACTATCTCCTTAACGTAATTGAAGCCGATCAAGACTAAGTGATCTACGATCGAAATCGATGCAGTGTAACACCTGCATAATCGGAAGAGCTTCACCGACTGGCTGGATTATAGAATAACTATTTATGCATACACTATATATATATATATATATAGGTATTGTATTCGAACGTACACCTAAAGGTCTCGTAAACAAGAGGCACGTGCGTCGTTATGTTGCTGGTAGTCACTCGTTCCGGGGCTCACGGACTAGCCGGCAATGGCTGTCTGTGAGCGCTTATATCACTGATTGCTTAACGTATGATTCAAGCTAGCTTTTTCGTTTACTGCTGGGTCGGCGCGGTCGACGCAGATGACAACGGGCAACGCTTGTCGCTAATTATAAATTGAATCATTTTTACGGCAAAACAAACGCTAGCGTTATGTGTTTGCTACGGAACCGGAACGTCCGCTTGTAAAAAGGACGAAACAAGATCCACATAGCTGTAACCGACCCACTTGGTTAAAGGGTGAGCAATGTATTCGGGGGTGCGGGATTTGGCTCAGTTTTGGGGGCTACGTGATAGACGAAGTCCTCAGCACAGGGATTTGAGGTTCTACAAACGACAACTATGAAATAACCACGCAGACCCGCTGCTCTTGTCTGTTAAACCGTTGTTCCTGCCACCAACACACAGACGAAAGACAAAGTTCTACAAGCGTAAAAACGCGATCATGCTATGCTCATGACTTTTACCCGTTTTTTTTTTAATTAGTCGCAATCCGTATACGCAATGCGATATTGCAGTCCCAATCAGACGTCTTTTGCCGATTCGACTATACCTCTATATTTCCTACACATTGTAACAGATGTCTGCCAAATGTTTGCTATTTGTGCTTAGATACAGAATAATCTCGAAAATGTCATTTTCGATGTTTTGCCCGCAGCGTCTTCCCATTCGTACCGAACTTTTTCTAACTAGGGTTTTTGCATTATCTGTAGTATTGTCCAGCAAATTAAACCTTTAAAAAGATATCATTAGATTGGTATCTTTGGCGAGTAAGCTGTTTACAGTCTCGCCCTTGCATGACTATAGTATCAATCACAGCAATGGTGTTGACAGACTGAAAATATGCTGAGTCTAGCTTACAGGCGGTCTCAAAACAGGTATAGATAAACCCGATACTCTAGTGTACCTTTCTGCAGGCCTTGTGCGTCTCATACACTGAGGTTCGGCCTATTCCCCTTATCGAAACATCTCCAGCCTGGTAAAAGCAATCACGTTCCTCTTGATTACGTAATTTGTCGCATTTCATGACTACTTGGCCAATAGGTGTTTTTGGCCGCATTACATTTGGTTCTATATACATGATAGTTTTAGTTAAACGACGCATAAATACTACACAATTCGTGAGCACAAAGAGCTTTATTTCCTACATAATGGGTAACACTAGTCTCTAGCCTGTATGCATGTGCATGATATGACGCAGAGATCCGAAATGGCATCCTAGATGAACGTGTCAGAATGAGAGAGAGTGCGATGAGTTGCAGAAAGCTAAGTATTGTCCGTCTTAGCAAATTAAACTTCACGAATGACCAACTGGGTTAGACGTCAGTCATCATACGGACGAGCATCGCCAACGAAGATCGCAGCAACGTTCAGTGATTGCCTCAAACAACAGTAACAACAACAACAACAACAACAATAGCGGTATCAGCACCAGCGGGGCCGATTGTCTTTCTCTCTTCGTTGGTGAAGCATGAATGTCAGTCTCATTTTTGATACTTATATAAATGGGTAATAGCTTGTATCCCGAATGCGGTGCTCGCCGCTCGGTTAATTGGGTTCTGCATTTATCGAGAAGTTTGTTCTTAGACTTCTTCTACTTGTAATGAAATGTCAGTCACTTTGACGACTGACAATAGACAAGCAGCTAGACAGAGGAATAATAGTACAACAACAACAATCGCATAACAAAAAAAAAGCTATTTTCATTACGGAAAATAAAACTAGTCAAAGGTGAACAAAGGAATGAAACGGCGACCCCGTAACGCCCTCTGAACTTTGGCGTCTATGACGATGGCTTATCCTGCACCTAATGACGCAAGCGCATACGGTTTTGCACGCGCCATCGAACTAGATAAGTCTGATCGAACCTCACAGGTGTAGAGGTTCTACCCGATTCATCTGTCAGTAAGACGTCTATAGTTATTTATTGGATCATTTCGCCCGACAACAATGACAGTTAGATGCGCTATAAAGAAGTGTAACCTAATGAAACCTTATAAGGCTATCGTAGCGGATTGTTTTCGCATATTTACTACTACACATTCGAAATATACATGAAAAAATGTATATTCGTGACCCATGTCATCATCATCATCACGAAGTTTTCCTTGCGTTCGATGGGATCATCACATTTTAGGCTTGAGAGGACGAGCCACGTACGTACGTACGTAGAGAACGTACGGAGCACTAATGTTTTCAATTTGTTTTGTTGACATGCAAAAGCATACTGACTGTTTCAGCTTTTCTTAAAAAAAAAAAAAACTTACCTAGTTTCGTTACACAACAAATACCCAATGTAGAAATTAGCTAGAATTTCTTTACGCTTGTCAAAGTAATCTGTGAACAGCAGACTATGAAAAGCTACGGTTATACGCTTTAAGGCCATTTTTCTCTTTTTATGTGAGTAACACGCTTCTTGTTGCCGATGGAGACTCTTGGATGTTTGGCTTCTACGAGTTTAGCTTTGCTGATGGAAGTTACTGACGAGGAAGCTGAATCTTTGGGTAGGTAACGGTTGAAAAACGCTCTGCTATGTACGCACTCTAGGTTCCATGCGTAAAGATTAAAGAGATGTTCATAACTGACGTTAGCCGTCTTAACTCCTTTAAACGTGTACCGTCTGTATCATGTGCGTGTCTCTAGGTAATCTCGAGAAACTTCTGACGTATGCCCACTCCTCGCTTCGACGAAATCCTAGCGACTTGAGCGCTGTACCGTGGTTATTTTTTGCTAAATTCGTAAACAGTTGGAGTACCTCCTCAAAAACAGGCAAGGATGCGAAATTTTGTCCAGTACCCTTGGCATAAACGGACGCACAAAGCGAATATTGTTATACTATTTGTATAGAAGCTGTCATTTTTCATGAATGGAGCCAATTATATTTGAGAGCAACAGGTGAGATAGACGCTCATGGAAGGAATAGGACAGTTAAAAGGAGTCAATCGAGCTTAATAAGCAAATGCGTGAAACAATTGTGATATTTTATGATTATATATTAAGCCTAATAAGAAATTACTATGGGTTATAGCACACAGTTAATAGACGTCCATTCGGATCGTACCTGTTGGATTTGTAGCGTAATTATATTTTATCCAATGAGGCTAATGACATACAGAAAGACCTACGGAACCATCCTCTAAGACAAGCACGGCCATAGCGTTGGTCCTTTCTTCTAGGGCAGATTCATTACTATATTAAAGATATAGCAACGTCAGGTACATCGTAAGATCCACGTTGCAGTAAAACTTCTTCAAGTGTGTCTGTAAAAACAACAATAGGCAACAAAGGCTACGTTTGCACAATTTATATTATTCTGAGAAACAATAATTTACATGAGATAAACACACACACACACACACAGTAATGTAATATAATAAAATAACGTACATCTATATCCGTATGATTTCTATCGAAGAACACCGATGTCTAACATCGTACGAAAACAGATAATAAAGAGAACGAACAACGACATACGACTTTATCAGTTCCTAATGCACACTATACCGTTAATATAACAAGAGCTATCTTCACTGCTATGCTTGGCTATGACCGTATTAACAGTGTGTCTCCTGCGACTGACTTTACGTCTGTGTGCTAACGGGTAAACATATATGGTTCCCTAGATAATAACAACACGAACAGCGGCCGCATTCGCCTTCAATGAAAAACAGTATTCTAAGTATAGCGCTGATGTTCCATCTTTGTGTCGAGATAATTTCATTTTCATCATGCCATTGTATTTGGATGACTATTGCTAAAGCTTTTTCAGTTGTACAGCAACTTGCACATAAGCAAAAACACGAACGCAGACGCACTTCGTCTATCTCCGTTGTGTAAGCTTTCCCGCTAATCCTTGACGCTCAGTGCTTTCCTGGCAGAGAGGCGCAAACCATTCCAGAACCACAACTTTGATTAAGGGAGCGGCAAGAAGGTGGAGGCTGACTGATGATGCCATGGAATTAGCACGCCACTCTGCATAAAGGAGCGATGAGCGCGCTATTCGTGGCAGAAACTGTAGAAGTAACGATTGCCGTAGCATTCTCTGAAAATTTCTGGAAAAAAGTTTTTCTAGAAATTTTCGAAGCAGATCGAACGTACGTACGCATGTTCCATTGGCACTCACCCACTCACAGAGGCACGAGCACATATTGTAGCGCTCACGCATAGTAGCAATTCATTCTATTTGGTCACAGGGCAGCGGCCGTTTGTTTTGTAATCGAGAACAATGCTAAGGCACAACTTTGCCACCAGCGCCATGGTTCTAACCACACTTAGCTACATAGTAGTAATAATAAAATACGAAAAATAGTAAAATAAATGAGCTGCTAATAACAGCAATACTAACGGGATAATGGTACTTAATGAGATGGTACGGCAAAAAAATTAGCGCTTAAGATATTCGCGCCTCCTGAGCCAGGCGGCCAGGGGCAAACAGTAACCACGACTTTACATAATTTCTGTGTGCAGGTAATGAACATTTCTTAGGTGCTTGGGGTTCGCATACTCCAGTCAACACCTTCAGAACAATACTGTCGGTGTTTCGCCTGATGCTTAAGCGACCAGCTCCACTTACCGGTTAGCGTGCTATGATGTTACCACTTTACGGAAGTGCCTCGTCAGCCTCGTGTCATAAGTTAGACTTGTCATAAGTTTAAAGTACAGTCTTGTTTAGGCATCTCTCTGTGGCAGGATAAAGTCGGTTATCTACAGGAAAGGAAGGAACAAATTATATATACCTTGATATAATTTTTTGAGCATTTTATACAGATCTTTTGGTAGTTATGTAGACAATCTGTCCGGGTGCTGACTCCGCTCATCGTAATCGTTTCAAGATGACCGGTATAGAGCTAAATTTACCGAATGTAAGGGACGGAGTTTACTAAATGCTATCTTCTCTCTCAGAAGCCAAATGGATGGAAATGTCGTTGTGCGGCGTCCCTGACGGTCCTGGCCTCATTGTTCGTGGTATGGCTTTCACTCGAAGACCATGTAGAGGCAAAAATGAAGCCTGCGGAACCTGGAGGCCCCTGTTTTATGATTTTCGATTTTCTCTTATAGTAGCATCGGATGGCGATTCTCCTTTGAGGGTTTCGTTCGGCGTCTGGCGTTTCTCGGAAGGGAGTAACGAGAACAGCCTGCGAAATCTGTTGGTTTGATCTGACTCACCGTATCGATGTTAATCATCTGACAAAATAGCATTAAATAACGTAACTGAGACATGCCTTAAGGCAAAACGATGCAGTAAAACCTTGATGATAGCTTTAAATTCACGGATAAGAGTGTGCGGCAGCGTATAGCCCGTTTTTTTTTTCTAGTTAAATCTTAATTGTGCATATGTAAAATACTTTCTGTTCTATCAATTTGTTATCAAGTATTTTATTGGGGTATATTGAAAAAATAGCTAGTGAATAGCTAAGTTTTAGGGAGAATGTGTTTTTGACAACTTGAAGAAAAATAGAATGCTTTCTATTTAATATCAGAAACGTATGATTTGAAACGCCAAACTTAAAATAGCGAATTTTTCCCACCCGCTTTGCTTTGATCTTTCGCGCAATGCACTTGCAAACGTGTTTCAATAGCCGATCCCTCGACTATACTGACTTTTTTCCAGCTAGAAAACCATTGACCATTGTACCCTTCAGGTACTGGTAACTTCGAGTCAGTCCGAGTTAATTTCCAGTAGACACACACAAGTAATACATGAAAAAAGATATATCTAATATATTATGGCTATGGAGAATGGTTAGTGTGAAATGCTCAGTTTATCTGATATCATATAGTTTATGATGAGAAAGTTATAGCTAGCAAAAAGTTGAAGTTATTATCTTTTACAGGAAACTTGTGTCATAAACCCTTTACTATTTGGCATGCATACAAATAATGGCCGAAGTAGAATTGATGAAGCCAAGTGAACTCTTAAACTAGATCTTAGGAGATCGTTTTGTTTTTGGCTGTTTAATCTCTCACTAATTAGGTTACGTAAAACATATAATGAAGTCAATGTTACATGCAGAGATGTCAACTGGACAAAAACCTATTTTTTTCAACCGTCATAAATTCTATTGCCACACCGGCCAAAATAACCTCCTAAGGTTACCGATTATGCTTTCTGCCTTTCGGTGTGGTTTATAGGTCGACGCCCGTACGTCCATCAAAAATGATCTGAGATGCTCTTGCAGCTCGCGTCATTATTTCAAGCGTTTCCTGACGTCACTTCGTTTCTTCGATGCGATTATACATAGATTGATGCATTGTAACACTGAGCGTCGACTGACCATTTCGTGTTGTTAAACACTGAAGGTATGAAGTGATCGGATCAATTGGCTCATCGACGTAGACACATTTTTCGTTGCGCCTTCAAAATCGGACATTTTGCTTTTGCGAAAATTCTTATCAAGCGAAAACGGCTATATGCAGATACGCAACGTATAATAGAAGTACTTTGCCATGAAAATGCAAAGTTTAAGGTATATTGGCCTTTTCTGCTATAGACCCTCTGGGTGACTTTCGTTAGATGTCAACTGATAAGGGCAGAACGCTTTACGAGTTTTGGTCACAAGTTTTTTTTTGATTGCAATGGTTATTTGTGCCGCTCATCGAATTGCTTAAATTAACCATTTGAATTGAAGTTGATGGAAGTAATATAAGCTTTACCCTAATATTCTCTAGGTTGTCACCAATTCTCATGTGGTGTCTAGCTTCAGCTAACTTATGATTATGTAACTTGTTTCCTAGACAAAAAATTAATGTTTTCCTAAACGAATTAACCGGCAGAATTAACCGGCACTTAATAGAACCAAAAATATTGTATTTACGGTGTCAGTATCAAAGTTATAAAATCCTCAACTGCGTGCCCATAACTAAAGTTAGGAGTCGCTGCACATTTGTATGTATTATTTGAGATGCAGGAAATTTGAAATCATTGACGTATTAGTAGGATTCTGTCTCGATATAATTAGGATACCTTATTTTACTCTTTACGTTTGTACCAGTAAATGATAGTTTTAGGTAGGCATGTGTTTGTTTCTATTGTTTTTTCTGTATATGCTTTCGGACCATTCGGAGCAAGCACAAAGGAATCTAATGATGCCACTGATTGGCTTGATTACTCTTCGTCTGTATTTTATATGTATATGTGTACCTAATTAAATTAAAAAGAAGTGTTTGTACGTGTAAATTTCTAATGCAACGTTCGAAATCATCTTTCTGCCGCAGCTTCTTTCACTCCGGTCAAATTCGGGTTTTCTACGGCAGTACTGTTTGATCAAGATAAATGTTCTACTTTAATTGATTGTATCACTCAAGAACAAAGCCAAACATTTCCATGCATATAGAAGCTATTTGGCAAGTCGACGATAGATATATATAAACAGTAATAATGGATCGACGACGGATGGGCGGACCCTGACTCGCCGTATACTCCGCCTCCTTTCATAGTAATTCCTTTTCGGCTTCAGCTGCTGTTTTTGCCGTTGCTGCCGCATCATTTTGTGTCTCTGTATCCTTTGTTCTCTTTCCCTGTCCTTTTTAGTCCAGCATTTCATTCTCAACTATTTTTTACTTCTGGCGTTTCGCTGAACAGCCGAAACAGGTAATTGCCACTTGAGTACCCCACCCCCCGCCCCCCGCTGCCTTCTGGTCTCGTCTGGTTCATGCGTTCGTTTCAACTGATAACGACTCATACCCTCATTATCGTCTCGACGGAGACAAACGGCTTTACTGTCTCCCTAAATCTGAATGCATGCTTCTCCGTGTATATCTGTATTCTTGCCCACTAGGCAAAGGCCGTTGACGACATCGTTGCCGCAGGTCATTGGTCATTGTCTCTTCTTTCCGCTCATTTTTACCCTCTCTCATTTCAAATGAACGAAGCTTATTCAGCTTCTACGATTCCTTTACTTTGACGCCTTCCGGTTCCCCTTCGACTGCTGGATATACCATACTGCTTTTATGCAGTGTTTATGCAATTTCTTGACGCTTGAAAACAAATGGCCGAGTCGCTGGATTTTGTATGAGCTCGGTAGGGACATGTGTCAAACGTCTCTAATTTTTGCTGATAAAGTAAGTTCAGTGGATGGCTCCTGATGTGCCTGATTTCTTGGCCAAATAGACCGGTTTAACTTACATATTTTTCCGTCAGTTGATTGTTAGCATGGCCCTCGCATAATCCAGTAGCACGTCAGCTTAAGTTGCTTATTGTTGCCTCTTCCTGAGCGTCAGTCGGGATTCGACGAGAAAGCGGGTGTTAGGAATTAATTCTATGCCAGCTCCAATTCAATTTTCACTGTAGTTCTGTTTTGTCCTAGCATAGGAAGGTTTAGGAACGAATCCCGGGAGAAAAGACCTTGTCTTGCTGTTATATCTAAGTCAGAGATCTCTTTTTGCCTCTATAGCATTGTTAACCCTGCTCGCTTGCTACTACACACGCGCACTCATATTTTCTTTGTGATTCTCCTACGAACATTCTTAGGTGGACCTTACAAGACCGTTTACTAGGAAACACCAAGCTGGTTTCTGGATCGGCTCAATACAGCCGACGAATTCAAATCATTCTAACAACAAGGCTAGGCCTATAGGTATCATACATACACTCTGTTGAGGAAAGCGAGAGGCTCCTACGCGAAGAACAGAAGCAGTTGTATTACCAGCATAAGCATCAGCACTCATTGGACGGCTGATGCTGCATCAGGAACGGAGAGACGACTACGATAGCGAAAACGGCGCTAAAGACGACAGGAACAAACGAGCCTTAAATGTGGCTGTCTTCAGAGTCCTCGCTGCCGCCACTTCGCTCATGGTCACTGCCTCCGCGGCAGCTATAATTGTAGCCACAGCCACAACTATATCATCATCAGCTGGCTTTCTCCACTTTGACCGATGTTCGTTGTTGTTTTCTGTTCTCTGTTGCTGCTGTTGTTGGTATTCGACTGATGCTTTGCTGTTGCCGCCGCCGCCGCCGCCGTCGTTATGCTCGACCAACCCCTGTTGGCCTTGTTAAGGCCGCTTTTCCTGTCGCTCGTTCGTCATGTGTATTCTATCTTTGGTGCACACCTCTAAAAGACTGGGCTCCCTTGTCTGCGCTTTTTACTCTTTAATTTAAGTTGCACTGCCATTGCTATCTTTTACTGTATGTATCTTTTCTGTTTCGTTCGAAGGAAAGATGGCTCTTGATGCCGCTGAACTCAGTCTTAACTCAACTGACCCGGTCCTAAATTTGGCAAAATTGGCAGGATCGTTATTGGCCGTTCATTTTTATTTGGTCCGCTCTTATACTACGGCGTGGCGTGCTTTCTGCAAGGTCGGTACGTTTTTTCGGCTGCCGAATTTTCTTTTCTGTTTGACTGCTGTTTGTTGGGCCTGTTTTCGGTGGCACGCTGGTCATCAAGGGAGCGTCACATCTGGATTCGTTTAGCGTGAGGCCTCTATATTTTTCACCTTCTGCCGTCGCCACTATCGAAACTCAACGCGTTCAAATTCTTGGCCAATCGCTGACGCTATATGCCGCTACCGGTCTCGCCGATAGATAACTATTTTTTATTATCTCCGTAAAATTACTATTATAATATTGCACTGAATTATAGCTACTATTTAATCAAGTTAAGTTTTAGTACGTAAGCCATGTAAATAGGATGCTATTCAGGGTGAGAATCTATCATAGACAGAATAAATACCTATATAGGTATATATTACGAACATAAACGCTTCCTTAAAAATACCGATTCCTTTTTACTGGCAATTACTAGTAAAGTCGAAGTATTATAAAGCGTCGCGTTGTTCCTCATAAATCGAAAACTCCACATTTTCTATAATTATGACTAGGTTTTCCAAATGTATCAGTAGCCTTCTCTCATAGCCTTATGCCAAGAACACTTACTGGTCCTGCTTGACTCACTTACGCTACACTAACCGATTTAAAGAAGCTTAGAGGCCCACATCCCGAGAGGCTGGCTTCTGCTGGGATGCTCCACCCGGTATTCATTCGTAATAGCTACCTTTGAACGAAATGATAGGTTCTATATACATTTGAGATAAACTGCTCTAGATTCAGTGTGGTAGGTATAGACAATTGTCATAATGTGTCACTAGTAACTCACGCAATTATGTGCGTGGTTATTATCTTACGGGTTTGTTATAAGCCACTGGTCGGGCACTCAGCGAAGGCAGCTATTTTGATATTTATTCAAGGCCAAAGGCTCGTTTTAGGGCAGTAGCAGCGGTGCACAAGCCACAGCGAATCATAGAGCTTGGCCTCCCATTTGCTTTAGAATGTTTACTTCCTATCACTATCCGTCCGCATTTTGGTCAGTCTAGTTATTGTCAGTTGGTGTGGCAAACAAAAATTCGTTCGGGCGGGCAAGAGCTTCTGCTTTGCACCTATTATGCATAGCAAGATCTGAGGAGCTGTCACGTCGTACATCGCAAGCACGTATCGTGCGAAATAGTGAACGTGTGTCCATCGGTGTTCCAATTTCAAAATAAACTCGATTTTAATACGATGCTCTCTAGTGGAAAGTCCATTAGAGCGACACGCACTCGTATATCATACATACTAATCGTAGAAGGAGTAGCGACAGCTGCAGCAACGGCAACAACAGTCACGGCAACATGCGCAGCGAGCCGGATGCAGCCCTCCCTGGCTCATTCATTCTCGAAGTCAAACAAAATATGACGCCTGCTAATCTCACTCAGGACACATTGCCAGGACAACGACAAAAATTAGGGTGCCGACGCGAATGTTCGTCGTTTTAGATGTGCTGCCTTTGCCGCACAGTGCACACAACTCCCACTGAGGTTACGTACCTAGCAACGTGTATGTATTTACACCCATACGAACCTCCCCCATTGTTTTTCTATCTTCGTACATTCACGGATTTGTACTACTCATAGGTATTATACAAACTACAAACGACGATACCTATCTACATGTATCCTTGCCTCAGATAGTCGCTCACTCGACGAAACACGCTCCGCTTTGTTTGAACGAGGGAAACGAGTGATGCTGGCGACGGCCTGATGGACGCCTGGAAGGGAGATCGGCGACATCAACGGTAAGAACAGCAACAAAAGCACAGTCCGCACTAACATGTGGTGCATTGCTATTACACGCCACCTTCCCGGTCGACGTAGCGGGCATAGAACAAAGCCTGTTAGGCAGGACAAAAGTAAGGGCGAGTAGATCGTCCAAGAGAACGTCATATTGCATTGTACCGCTGACTAATGCTGCTGCGTTAGATGATATCATGTAGTGTTATAGCATAGATGTGCTGGGGCGTACTCAACCCCTCGTCCACATTCCCGGTCCTGCGAGGCTTGAGTTTAGACGATTGTTGGGCGTACTTTGAGGGCCCGGCTAATGTCGATCAGTCGCCATCCAGGCCTAATCGTTAAGGCTCGGCGATGCCATCGACCACATTCGCACAAAGACTGCGCTGTGCCACCTCCTTCCCTCGCTTTCTCTCTAATCACCAGCGGACGAAAACAAAGTGCCGCTGTTGGCACACCCACTGGGCTGGTAGTGACAGTTCTTTCAGGAGACCATGGGTTAAGGCCCGAGCGGAGACGGGGATGTACCTTTCTGGGTGGAGAGATCACCGCTACGAACTTCACTAATTAATCGAATTATCGCTAAGGCTTGCATTTATCACGAGATCGATGCCCTTCTAACTTACGACCGCCTACCCCCGAGCAAGTCACCTGGTTGACCCCACTCAAATTGCACCAGTGGAATATTAACTGCCCTAACCTTTTCCAGTTACTACTTTGGACAAAGCTGGCTATCGTAGTAATAATGAAACGTTAAGTATTCGATTAGATCTTAAAGGATTCTCCTTTTTCCGAACCAGAAGATAGAGTACATCCATCAAAAATATGTCTTGTGTCTACACCATAGCGAGACTTAGAGAGGCAGTTGAAGTCATTATGCTAGATTTGCAAGATGCAAAGTAAAATCGAATAGATATTGTCAAGGTTTCTGTGCCTTTTAGGTTTGGTCAAATACATTCCAACGAGGGCATCGCATAGAGATCGGCTT